ACGTGATCTTATTGATATAGTCCTGCAGTTTGTTCCATATTCCGGAGTAACAATTCCATTCAATTCTAACTGCGACGAATCTACGCAAAAATCCAATAAATCCCCCTACTACTTACAAATAATCAACAGTTGCGTTGGCAGCATACTCGCCACCTCGACTGGTGGCGGCTTGCAAAGGAAGTCGTCTCTCTGGGGGCCAGCCCCGTTCTCTGCACATCATAACATGCAAGAAAGTGGAGGATAGGCCGCGCTATATCGCAGTTAGATATCAGTCATGACGCTCCGCTGCATTCGCCCATGGCTCAGTGGCGTAAGTCGCTGACTCGCAAGAATAACGTTGTTGGTTCGAATCCGGCAGCATTCAACGGGTGCGCGCTACCGACGAGACCCAATAAGACGAAACGGCCGTCTAGCACTTTCCTGGATGTGTGGTGGCTGTCTGTGTCCAACTGCGACGAACCTACGCAAAAACCTAATAAATCCCCCTACTACTAACAAATAATTTAAAAATAAGTTTGCGACCAGCTACAGAATTCCTGCGCAGTGTCTCACACATGGCTCAATTCACATAAGTTATCTCAGAGACATGCGAATGCTGTGCATACTCTTTTTCGACCCAATCATCACTCGCTTTACATTGCGATGGAGATACGCATTCGCCGTACACTTTTGGATCCGTCATGGTCTGCCACGAGGACTGTGCACAGCGTCGATTTCACAACTATGGTTGAGCGCTTGGTGTCAATGCTCGAGGTAACAGTATCAGGCAAGTAGACACCTTGTGCAGAGTGCAACCAAGGTTGAAAAATCATTCTAACGGTAAATACCAACTGATCTCAATCGTAAAGAGTGATTCGGTGACATTGGTCTGGTTCATTGTAACTAAGTTACAGACCAGATAGCTTTATCACTAGTCCGGTAAAGCACCAGTCAGCCGTGTCGTTCTCTTGGGGCTGGTCATTGATGATACCTCGCATTCAGATTGCAATCCGTTATGGTCAGCTGTCGCCTTCATGGCTCAGTGGCATAAACTATTGGCTGGTGGTGTAAGCCACCAGTGGTCACGGGTTCGGTTTCCTGAAGGGGGGGGGACTGAGGAAATACGTACCAATGACGAGCCCCACGGGAAAGAAACGGCCGTCTAGCGCCCTTACGGATTAGTAGTTGACCCGTCTTAATTTTAAGCTAATCGCGATGAACTAAAGAAATATATCAAGATCATTCAGTTGTGTCCCAGTTAAAGTGGTAAGGCGCCAGAAAAAGCTCTATGGTGTAACCTAGAGAACGTGGCAATTCGCTGGCGGAATTCATTGGAAAGCAAGTAAAACGGTGAAGAATTTCCTCCTGCTTGCATTGTTCATAAATTTCCATGTAATCCAAAACAGTGTGGCACGGCCATACATGACCTGACAATAGTTGGAAAACAGAAGTACACGACAGATAATTTGCCAACCACAGACCTACGTAAATAACCCGACAAGGCTGCGGATAAGTAGAGTCCGAGAAGAACAGCTTAACGTTTATAGCCTAATCGAAGTGTTAACTGCTGATAATGCAAGTTCCAACTCCTCACCTGTCTCGATTTGTTTGTAAACATTCGCTTAAGACGCCTCATTTAATGAACAATGAACTGTGACTTATCATGGGTAAAAAATCAGGTGTTTGACAGGCCTAGTTGCAATGAAAACTAAGATATCAAGTGGTTAATGAAGCATAGTAATAGTAGGGGAGTTGTATGGTAGAAATTCGTCACATCTAGACTCTCTCAGACAGCCGGCACACGTCCGGGAAAGCACTGTAAGCGCGTTTCATCCTTTCGGGAATCGTTAGCAGTGTGCATTCCATCGGACCTTGGTCACACTTGAACCTGCAACTCGACTGTTGCCAGTCCGCGGTTGAGACCTCTGAGCTACGGGGGACGGTGATGACCATCATGAATAAGTTACTAGATCTGATATAGCGCCGCTCAGTTTAAACGTCTACCCATTTAACTGTAGTGCTGCAGAACGGCAGTTTGAAATGGGGATTGAATGTGCGCACACAATGTACTGTAGGGAGCAGTTATATTTCACGTAATCCGTGAGAAACAGTAAACAAGGAGATGACGACACTCACTCGTATGCATCTTCTTTGGGCCGATGGGATGCGTCACTCCAGTTTGGGTACGTCCTAACAATTTTCCACAACAGCAGTGTCCAACAAATGAAGTGAAAATGAACTGTTTTATTGGTATTGTTAGGTTGACACCCGGAGGTAGAGGGTTATGTGGCGAGTGTAGTGGGAGAAACAAGGTAAGTAGGAGGCATTACAAAGTTATCACACACGAAGGGAAAAGAAATTCCTGAGGAATTCCAACCGGTAATACTGTGTGGTCAGCTACTGCTGGTTACTTCTCAGAGTGGGTATATGATTCAGGTGAAGGTGATGACAAACATGGTTTGGATTTCTCAAGATCAAATATATTGTTATCAAACCGCAACAGGCTTTGATATTGTCCACTGTAGACCTCCGAGTTTTCAGCCGCAGTTGCTAGGGGAGATGAAACGAACTCTTTCCGTTCTTGGTCGCCCTTCGTCGTAGCATTTCATGTGCAGTGAGGTCGTGCTTGTGCCAGGGCTGCCGCGCGTAGAAATCGTATTCCCCTTGCGGCCTTATGTAGACATTGCGCGTCTGAAAAAAGATTGACAAGACAGAATCCCCGAACGTCCTCCGCAAAAGGCCAAGGTCTTTTTGGATACTTTCTCAGCCTGAGGTGAACAACCAAGGTCGCAATACGTAGGAGCGCGCTGCAAACGTTGGTCCCCCAACCTGTACTTCCAAGTAGCTTGACGGCGTATGTTCGATGTCTTACACGTGGTGGTGTTGAAATAATCCAGGTTCTGAGTCGCCCATGAAGTTCATCCTGAAGGACTACGTGGTCAGGCTTTGTAGCGACCGGAATGCTGATCTGCGAGATAGGTACTGCATGAACTTTGTTGCAAAGGGGAGGCTGAAGAAATATATGATATTAAAATTTCTCTTTTGATATGTTACGACACGAAAACCATGACACTAATATTGCGTGCAAATGAACGCGTCCACACAGGCATCGTAAATAGTTTGTCGAGTAAACGAGGAGATTTATCTGTTTTCTCAATGAAAGTGTCATACCAATGGCTGCCTTCAGATTATTCAAGTGCCAGTTTTTTCCAGACAGCACGGGACGCGATGATTATGGATAATACTCCAAGAAAAGACATCAACTGATTTTCATAAATGATCCCGGGATATTGATCGCCACAAATTAGATACTTCTCTTTGATAATCTCCATGTATGTTGGGACTGCAGAATAACCATTGACCACGTAACACCGTATGGCGATATCGACAAGGTATAGTAGTGGGTAGCTTAGAAGATGCTACCTTTCAACGCGGCCAAATGGAGACACTGAGCCCACGCCATTAATGGACTCATGAATATACGCTGCGGGGTCCTATTTTCAGCGCGCCACTGTTGGAGGCGACCTAGACCGTCTTGGCTATTCAACTCCGACCCAGAAAGCACTAAAACCGAACAATGCTTTGAGCCACTTTGGGAGAGGGGTGGGTGCATCCTCGCAATCCCATTCAGAATACGTCAATAAACCTGATAACTCTGATAAGAGCATAACCCAGCCGCACTCGAACTTCCACAACACGGCGGCCAAGAATATTAAGGACTTGTTCCATCTCTCTTACCAGACACGATTGAAAATCGTTGGAGTCAAGAGTGGACAATATCAGCACTTATATAACCATTTCATAATGACGTATCAGATCCTGAGGACTCCAAACCACGTTTATCACCAACTGCTAAAGCTTAACTACGACACACTGAGTCACTATTAGTTAAATCTGGCCGCATTGTAAGACCAGTTAGACTGCCGCCGGAGTTCATTCTCATTTTATGTGTGCCGAACAGAGAAGGCTCACCTGATTTGTATTATTGCTTCTTCCGTATTCCTGGTATTCAACCAATTGTTCTAATGAAATTCGTCGCTACTGGACTCTGCCAGGCAACCACTACACCACCCAGTAAAGCGCCATACCACGATTTCGCCCTGTTGGAACTTGTAGCACGCATCAGGCAAATTCCGCTGGATCCTAACCTACTAGCCAGTGACTAATGTCATTGACAGATTAATGACGACGGCGGACCACCACGACTAGTTTCTAACTGCGATGTAGCACAGCTCATCCTACCCTGCATGAGGTTGGGAAGGTGCAGAGAACAAGGCTGATGATCAGGGCTACCATTTCCTCTGCAAGCCGTTATCAACCGAGGTAGCACGTAGGCTGCTAAGGTGATTACTGATTAGTAGAGAGCGGTGGATGGATTTATGGTGTTTTTTTGAATCTTCGTCACAGCCGCACTCAGCCGGACATCCGCCACACATTAAGGATAACACTAGTCTTGAGACTCCTCCGTAGCACGCATACGCAGAATTCTGCTAAATCCGAATCGATGAGCATACTCTCACGAGTCAACGGCTTATGCCAATAAGTGATGGGTGACTGCTGCTCTATAAAAGCGTTTTGACAATGACTTGACATAACACTCCCTGACCAGGTGCAAACGTAACCAAAGCAACTGGTGCGCTCATCTTAATTTCCTGGTGAGTCCAGCAACATCTGCGGTATTTTGTAGCCACTATGTCGTTGGTCAAAGTAAACCCCCTTTTATTCTAAGGAGCATCTCGTGTTAACTTTTTACCAATAATAAACCATTGTTGCCATTACGTCCTATATTTAACTAAATCGGAGCTACTTTGCTTCCCAATCACGGCGCAATCACAGAGGTTAAACTCGTTTGATGTAGCTGCATTGTTGTTGCTTTGAATAGAAATCCTCCCCATGGGAGTTGGCTGCCTGCGGTTATCCAAATGTCATTCTCAATTATGAGTGATTACGTTGTTGGAGGAATTATTAAAATGCATATGACATTGCTCATAATAAAGTGGGAATGTTCTCTCTACCACCAGGCGTTTCGGAACCAAATGTGCTGGATGTGAGAAAGGAATTCCGCCCTATGAAGTTGTCCGGACAGCACAGGAAAATGTGTATCACTTGGAATGCTTCGTCTGTGTTACTTGTGACAAACTACTGAATACTGGGGACGAATTTTACCTGCTGAGAGATCGAAAACTGATGTGCAAGTTTGACTTTGAGACAGCAAAAGCAAGAGGTGAGTGTTTCCAACTAGCGAAACTAGTTGCAGTAATTTAGGATTCGAAGCAAATCTTAGTATTTTATGGCATACTATTGATGAAAAACGCAAGCGGAACCTGTTAAGCAAACAATTTTTTTACTTTCTTTATCATCAGGCCGAGTGCAGAAAAATACTTGGGAAAATCAAGTCCATAGGACAGTACCGAAGTAGACCATTGGTTAGACCAAAATTAAACGGCTCCCATGGTGTGTGTCGGGCAATCAGGGGATAGAAGGCACGTGACCTAGTTGAGTCGGATCTGATTCTCCTCCTGCAGTTGTTGGCCAAGGAGTTGAAACGAGTGAGCGTGCTTCTTTTGGACGCAGAGATTTGGTCTTGTCAGTCATATGCTTAGCGCTTCTGCGGTAGCTTGTAATCTTGCTGCTAGTTGAAGGTTCAAATGGGATGGCACCTTGTATAGCATTTCGAAGGCATTACGCTTGCCTACATGGTGCCTTGTACTCATCAGGTGCTTGGTGACAGAAGTCATATTAGTTCGATCCATTGGGTTGATGAACGAATTCGGTAGGTGTTCTCTGATTCGCTTTTCTAAGTACCTGCTTGTGCATCCAATGTAGCTAGCTCCGCAGGAGCAGGTGAAACGATAGATCAACATGGCTTGATGAATGCAGATTATGTTCAAAGTTCAAAATACCTACGAAAGCTGTTAACACAGGGGGATGATTTAACATCATCATTGGTTAATGGATACTATCGCATGGGTTGTAAATTGTAGCAGAACGCTAAAGACTTCAAAGAACTGCTCTTTACTTATTGGCAAGCATTTCTGGGAGCATTGAATATGTAGCTGGCAGACCTACTACTGGATGTTCGGGTACAGAGGCACTGGAATCGTAATAATTAGTCTTTCAAACTCCAACCCCTCATAGCATCCTCTCCGCCCACTCACTTGGGCACAGTGTCTATTGACTAACTGAAATCCCAAGGACAACATGAAATAAAACATGCAGGGACCAGTTGAAAACTGAGCCGGGTTATTTGAAAACAAAGTTTCCGGCGGGAGCCCTGATTCTATCCATATGAAGGGGCAAAAGCTCTGTCCGACATAGTGTATTGGCACGGAAGGCAAAGATCACTGGCAGAACGGACAAGCCGCGAAAACTAAGGAAGATGAAAAGTAACGAGGATACCGGGGACGGAAGTCGACAAAGCAGCTCGAGACCTACGGGACAAGCCGGAAATAGACAACGAACGACAAAAGATGTCAGACTCAGGCCGAGAAGAGCGGGAGATGTATTGCTGAATCGCCCTACTTTCCGGAAAGATACTTGTTTGGCTGCGCCTCCACGAATAACCACGAAGAGAGCGACGCAACTCCGATTAAGCAAGTCAAGAGCATTAAAACGAATTCAGCCGGGTCAGAATAGGACATGCGGTAGCGGAGACAGGAGGGCAAATCGGCGTACGGCGACTTCACAGAATGTCTGAAGCCGGAGCATGAATGTGATGCCGAGCGGAAGGCCAATGTATGGTGCGTGGTGGTCGTCTAATGTCCTCTATACTTGCGCGTGCGTGCTAGCCTGTGAACCTGTTGTGCGTGGGCAATAAAGACTGTGTGCCCATACCATCATTCTCGCTATTACGGTTGACGGATACGGTTTCGGTTGTGCCTGTCAATGTGGTCAGAAACAGGACGCCTGCGCCTACACAGGGACCATCGGTGGCTTGCGCTGCACCACCCACAGCTCCAGCCACACACCCCAAATCCAGTATAAACCCGAAGGAATAAGACCGGGAGGCATATGGATAGGAGCCACGTTTCATCAACGGAGCCGGCCCACACTCGAACACAGGCAAACACAAGCACGCGGTGGTTGAGGAATCAGTCGCACACAAGGCGGTGGCTGGACCGGAGTCGGCTCCACACTAAGTACACGAAACCTCTCTTCGAGCCTAGCACGGCCAAAAGGCCCGTGCACCCTGTCCTCTCCAGCAACGACCAACTGTCTCCTGGAGCCAGTATGGACGAGGTAGTGGGTAATAAACAGGTAGGCACTTTGTTAACATGCACATCAAGCGTAGCTACACCGAGGATATCAAACAACAGCCAACCACTTGAAACGACAATATCAAATAAAATAAATCGAATAATGCATACAGATATGCCGACGTAGCTCTTTAATAATTGAGCATGTGAAATAAATTGGTTGCCAAAATATCCGCTAAAGTTTCAAGACGTTAGAAAATATATTAGGAAAATACCCCAAACGCCAAAACTTTATCAGTTAACTACAGTTAACTTGAGCGACGCGTGCAAGCTAATAGATAGTTCAGGTAGGCAATAATGAGACAATATAGCAAATCCACCAGCTGAAATAAAGTAACCCAGTGTGCAAGCAAGCGGTTAGTAAATCGAATGCAGCGAACCTACAAACGCGGCGCCGGTTCCGCCTACGTTCTCTGCAGGACCCGTCGTCGCTTCGGTGTTGGCCCCGGGTGACCTCCGTCATGGCTTACTAAGCCACCCTGGCTCAGGCACTCGCGACCTTATGTGATACAGCACCACGCGCTCGATATCGATGGAATACAACGCGTCGGCGCCTGCCGCTTCCACACTTGCCGCTTCTTCTCTGCATGCACGAGGTCTTTCTCCCACACTTCGGCAACTGCCTTCGTGATCAGATCGCGCCACGCCTTCGATTCCCATGATCTGCAATCAAGATTAGAACGTGAGAGGGTCATTTTCATCATGTCCTAGTAACGTAATTTTGGTTTCCCCACATCCCGTTTCCCAATACTTAACTGAGCATATAATAGTTGTTTCGGTGTCCGCATCGACTCCATACGGCACACATAATCGAGCCACCTCAGGTGTCTCAGCAAAAGTATGCAATCTACTGCATACAATCCAATTCGGAGCAGCACTTCCGTCTACTCTACTCTGTCGCACCAACCGATGCACAGAATCCGTCACAAACATTGTTGATGGAACCGCTTGAGATATCTCACATCTCGCCGGGACATCGTCTAAGTTTCACTGCCGTATAGAAGTACGGACAGCACCATGGATTCGTATACCATCAGCTTCGTACCAATGGTAAGCTGATTGTTGCTCCACCCTCGGTATTCTAGCGTCATGAATGCCGCCGCTGCCTTCGAGACACGGATATAAAGCTCACTGTGAAGCTGCTGGTCAGTCGATGTCTCACTCTCAAGGTAGCAGAAGCGGGAGGTGGTTTCTAATACTTAATGACCAATGCTAATTCGCGGTACCATTGCAGCTTGCACCTATAGCACGGTAAGAACTGAGCGGTACGTTAATCAGTTCCTTCTTCCTCTTTGGCCTGTTATTTGCTTTCTTTTACTCATTCTCTTCACCCTTGAGAATTATGGTCACTGCAATGAAATAATGCACGAGAACTAGCTGATTTCATCCAGACAACTAGCCCAATTCTGGTAAGCACTAGACGGCCGTTTCATCGACCCCGTAATTTTTGGTCTTGCTTATTCCTTTCACCTCCTATGGGGATAAAGATTGTGACCATAATATGAAGAACACGTGGTTATGAGTGTCGAGTTAAAAGGGATGGCAATGATCAACATGAATGAGTCACCAGACACATATCCATGAAAACACATGTCAAAGAAATCTGGGTATTCCTGACTTCCACGCTTGGATCCAAAGTAATAATTGACTGAAGCCAACTGCTGTGACAACATTGGCAATGTGGTGCGAAAATTACTTATCGTTATTTTCCAATCCAGGGTGTCAACTACTATTTCGATGTATCTGCCATATACTATTCAACTGCACATGAGACCGACAATGCAGTGTGTGGAGTTTGGAACGGACAACATCTGGCGTTTTTATCTGTGTCGAACGCGATTCAAATCGCGGAACAGACGGAAAGTTACTTCGTAGTGAGATTGTGCGTCACAATTCAGCAATACAGTAAGCGATGCGAAATCAACCAGACGTTGTGTTACTCTTAGCCCATTGTTCGATGATTCAGAGGTAAAGACCTTCACCGGCACAAGCGGGTATCGCTTCGCACTTCGGCTATCCCCACTTGAATTGACCAGTCAAGGACGCAGCCGTTCCTACACAGATAGCAAGTACTCTTTACTTGAGATGAGTCTAACTTTAAGTTCCGATGGATACCTTATTCAGCTGTACTCTCTGCTAGCCGCATGAGTGAGAGGCATTGTCATTACTGTGAGAGCTGTTGACTTACTGAGGGTTGTAAATATCAAAACCTAGGACGGAGTAATGCATACGCCTCGGCATTCGTTGTTTGACTGCAGTGAACGAGTATAGTCTTAGTCGGGTGAACAAGGTTTGTTCTTTGAGGACAATGATTTTTGTGCAAAAATCCGCATTAGATCAGAGTAGGTTCAAATTCCATGAGGCCCATACTAATTTGTATAAGCACGCCCTTTGCCGTACCAAAAGATTTCGCAGTGTTGCATCTATTCACAAGGATGGAAGCATTCGCTGGATACAGCTGGGTATGTTCACCTTTAATATCCTTCATGTGATGAAAAAAGGTAGGAGATATTACAATAATCGCGATCGTTCCATATTCTGATAAGTTGTTACTCGCATTTCTCAAGAGTTGAGTTGTACTGAGGCTGCACAATGGGAGTTGCAGTGGGCAGACTGCTTTTCGAAAGCGCAAACACGAGATCACGGTTAAGCTGCGTTTGGCAGACTTGGTCGGATGGAAATGAGAAGACGAGGAAGTGGTGAATTTTTCACAATTGATGACAAAATTCATAGTCATTGGACCGATTTATAGGGCCACTTCGTACAGGCATTCAAGTCCGTGTTGTGAAGAATAGAAGATGGTTTACTTGGGCAGTGCTGGTCAACTAAGTGTCAGCCCTCATTTGTCGTGGTTGATATAGATTGACTTGGGTTGTTCTAAGCTATTCACAAATGTATCAAGCGCTACGATGCAACACGTCACACTACTGTAGTGTGAGTCTAGATACATGACATTTATCGTTTATGT